CTCCTCCTCGTCGTACGTCGTTCGTGTCGTGTACGTACGTATACGTAACCGTTACCGTTACCGTTACGTCGTGTGTGTGTGTGTGTGTGTGTGTGTGTGTGTGTGTGTGTGTGTGTGTGTGTGTGTGTGTGTGTGTGTGTGTGTGTATGTGTGTGTGTGTGCATGTGTGTGTGTGTGTGTGTGTGTGTGTGTGTGTGTTCGTGCGTGCGTGCGTGCGTGCGTGCATGCGTGCGTACGTGCGTGTATGTAAGTGTAATTAAAAATTATCTGACACTAGTGAGAACATAGATGAAAGTGAAGTAGATATGGTGATTTATTTTAATATCTAAATATATTATATATTACATTATGTTATCATTACGATTATTGTTGTTGTTGTTTTTGTTGTTTTTGTTGTTGTTGTTGTTGTTGTTGTTGTTGTTGTTGTTGTTGTTGTTGTTGTTTTTGTTGTTTTTGTTGTTGTTGTTGTTGTTGTTGTTGTTGTATGACGAAGGAGCATATCTAAAACTTCGCATGTAACATTTAAAAGAAACCGCGTTTTTAGTACTTTACCTATTCATCCATGTTTTACGTAGAGGAAATTCACGATTCAACATACTTGGATTTGTTTTCAGGCGCTCACGGAGTTGGCAGACGGCACATCAAGAACACGCTGATAGCTAGCCACTCCGACAAATACGCATATCCAGTTCCTCGTAAGTATCGTACGCGCGCAGCCAGCAGTAGCAGCCGATGGAACTATACGTTATACAATCAACTCTCTTCCCAGCGAACTCACGCGGATCGATGGCTTTCCGGACGAATATATCGATAATGCATTGAGCGATTTCTCTCTTCCTCTATGTGTATGTAGACACAACGCGTGAGCCGAGGAAGGGGGAGGTCAATGGCAAGCACTATCACTTCGTCTCGTACCAGCAGATGATCAACGATATTACCGCAAATGAGGTAATTAGACGGGCAATCTTCTAAAATGACCGTGTCCATTAGCGGTCTTTTCGATATTGACATGCATTTACGATGTTCGCGGAGAAGAGGAGAAGAACGAAGAATAATGAAAAATCGCGGGCGGTCGATGTTAGAATAAAACGGGCTCGAGCATGAACTGCAATCGAAAAATTTAAGAAGAGCATGAAAAAATGACAATGAGAATGAGAGAGAGTATACGACTGCACGTGCGACCTTCAGTAAACTGTAAGTACTTGGAATACCTATAGTCGCGGTAACAACGATGTATATTAATTACAATGTCTTTTTTATCATTATACATTATGTCCTGCGTTTCAGTACTTAGAGTACGGTGCTCACGAAGAGGCGATGTACGGAATAAAGCTTGACACCATTCGCCGAATTCACATGGACGGAAAGATAGCGATCCTAGATGTGGAGCCTCAGGTGATCGCACTATACGTGACAACCTGCATAATAAATCATTGACGCCGGCGCTTTTAATAAATATATGGGTTGCCTGAGAACAGATGACGTCTCATGCACGTGTTCGCGTTAATTATATATATTTATATATATGTATATATATATGCGTACACGGTGAATGGAGATTGCAGGGTTATTTATAGAGTGACATAGCGGCGGTGTTACGCGCTGTAACCTGGCCGTTTTCGCTCCCGCAGGCTTTGAAGATGCTGAGAACGGCGGAGTTCTCACCCTACGTCGTGTTCATCGGGGCGCCAGAGCTATCGCCGCCGGCCAGTGTAAGTCATGCAGCCTCCATGCAGCGGCCTCCGTTCTTCTTCAGCCGCCAGCAGCTGTTGATGCAGCAATGCCGCGCAAACGCGAAGTCATAAATGTGCAAATAGCCGACAGTGAAATGTTAAATAGATGCCGTTCTGCCGTGGAGGGTATGGGCGTAGTGCAGAGTACAGATGCCAGCCAACTCGTCTGAATCCATTCACTCGTTCACTGTAGCACAGTTCATCTTCATAACGCTAACTAGCTGAAGATCAACGTGCGCCCATACAGAGGCAACAGTAGTCTCAGGTGATTAATTAATCATTAACGCAATCGACACATGTTAATTATATTGCTATCGATTAATAAGGCAGGCAGTGGTGCGGTTGTTGTCATGGCGCATGCATGAGTGCGTGTTTACGCTAAACGGGCGTCTTCGCATTTTCTCTTCGGTGCGCCCTGCAGGAGGACCGGAGTCTGCAACTTCTGGTTCAAGAATCGGAGATGCTAAACCAGACCTATCGGCACTACTTCGACCTGACGATCGTCAACAACGACATGGAGGACACGCTGAAGAGTCTCGCCAGCTGTCTCGTGGAGATCAACGCTTCGCCGCAGTGGGTGCCCGTCACGTGGATTTACTGAGACGCGATCGCGTACAGTGTCATGTACTCGGTGCTCTCGCTGAAATACCCGTACAAAATTTCGCGCCATTTCGGGTATTTCGAATCGCGCCCGCGCGCGCGGCCGCACTCTCATCGCGGCCTTTGGCGGGAGAGTTCGACAGTGAATAGACACTCCTACAGCCGTGAACGCAAGCGAGCGAGCGCGTGCGTCCTGTGCGGGACGATGCGTTAGAGAGAACGGAGGAGTCGTAGCCGCGGTTGGCGCCGAAAACGCGTCTGCCTTGTTTACTTATACTTGTCATTCGCGGTGTGAGCGGGGCGAGAGGCGGTTCGTTATTAGAGGTTATGCGAGGCGTGGTGCGCAGCGCCTTGACGGGCATCACGCATGCGCGCTGCGACCACGATCTTACTGGTTCGATTACGTGCGCTCTAGATTTTGAGCAGCCGGCTGTTTGGGGTGGTAGGATATGTTTACTAGGCACTTCTAATTTTAACATATATTTTAAATTCAATTAGGGTTAGAGTTAGGGTTAGGGTTATGGTTAGGGTTAGGGTTAGGGCACTTTTTAGGGTTTTTGCATCATTCTTTAATATATCGTAAAATATATGTTAAAATTAGAAGTGCCTAGTAAACATATCCTACCACCCCAAACAGCCGGCTGCAGATTTTGAGCACGTCTACCGCTGCGCCATCTATCGGGACTGACTCTACTGATGTTTAGCGTGGCCGCTGTAGATAATGGCAGCTTCGTCATCTCTACCCGATCTCAGTCTACCTCCACGCATACGATTTCACCTTGTAATAGCATCGCTAGAGTAGACATTTTGCCACGAATGACTTATCGTGTTTCTACGTGTAATTTAAGGAAGATTTTTTTGTAATGTATAAAGAATACGAATAAACATTATGTCCACACGTATTCTGCGTTTGTATTTTTGGTGTGATATTCTGTCTGAAAGGAGCCAGTGCGTAGAATGAGATAGTGAAAGAGTTAGGACTGAGAGCAAGCGGCAGAGTGTGCGTGGGTGCGTGCACGCGTGCGGGCGCGCTGTGCGTCTTCACATGCGTGCGTACGTGCTTGCGTGCATGCGAGTGTATGTGTATGTACTCTTGAGTGTGCGTGCGCGCTTGTCTGCATTATCGTGCGTTTGTGTAGTTGGCATTATTTGAGAGTGTGTATGGCGTAAACCATAAGTGTGGCTCACACATCTCCCCCTTACTGCTGCCACGTTATAATTATGGAAAGCAGACAAATGATAGAAAATATTTTTCCACACATAACGTCAGATTCCCCACGTAGCTAACTGACTCATCTATCTAACGATCGAGCTGTAACAGATATATCCTGCAGCGCCATCTATCAGGAAAAATAATTTATAGGCATGTGTGTGTGTGTGACATGTGTGTGTGTGTGTGTGTGTGTGTGTGTGTGTGTGTGTGTGTGTGTGTGTGTTCACGCACGCACGAACGCACGCACAGTCGTGTCGGTGAGCATTTCAAACTCGCACGCGATACTTTCAACCAATTCCCATGCGTGGTACATCCGAACATCCTACCAACACTAAGAACATGCACCCGACCCGACGAATAGCTAGGGCTCCTTCTACAGTGGCTAAAAATATCCGCCCGGAAACGTGATCCGCGGACGCAAGCGATAACTGTTAGAGCCCAACCGCCACGGCTCACTCTCCGTCTGTGAAGGGACCCGTTGCACATCTCTTCCCTGTCTCGGAGCCTTTGTCTATCTCCTCCTCGCCGCAGTGGTCGAAGCGACTTCTTGTTATACGAACCGCTTGTTCAGTAACTACTAGCTACCTGCACATTATCCAGAATGGTAAGTGTGTGGGTGGGGGGAGTGTGTGTGTGTGTGTGTGTGTGTGTGTGTGTGTGTGTGTGTGTGTGTGTGTGTGTGTGTGTGTGTGTGTGTGTGTGTGATTGTGGGATAATAAAAAGGAAGGCAGCGCATTTTCAAAATAATACAAATTCTTGCTCTTCGGTTCGAAACGTAATGCGAACCATTCCATGAAATGCCAATTCCTGCGATGTAGACCTATCCATAGCTACTATAGATATTTCTGTTGACCGCATCCGTTACGAATGAGTATAACGCATTTGCGCTGAATTGCTTAAAACTTTTCGCTTTTTGCTTATTGCAGAACAAATAACGACGGGAAATTAGTTTATTGTATCATAATAAGTTACACGCCTCGAGTTTCTTTTCATTCAATTAACCGATTTTAGCTGCACTTTATAAATAGATGTCTCGTTGGAATCGCCTGGTTTTTCGATATGAACAATTATAAGGGGAACTGATGCATGAATTCTTGTAGCATGTATCGGTCTCGATCCTTCGTCGCGTAGTAACCAATGCAGACAGCAATAACAAACGCCGGCGCCAGCAGCATGAGCATAGTGGTCGTGAATCTTAAATGTCTCCTGGCACTTTCGTTAACTCTTCCCATTGAGGACACCTAAAATGCAACGATCATATATGTTCGCCACGAATCTTATGGTCACTAATAATGAGTTTGATGCGACTATATATGACTACCTCTATTGGCAAAGACATATCAATCAAGAACAAACTGTCAGCCCATGCAGAATCAAATTGCAAGATAATAAAATCAATAAAAAAAACTATAAACAAGAGAACACGATTCAAAATTAAAGTTATAAAAAATTACTGATTTAATTCTTTCTTGGAAATCTAGTGAATTATCATTGCATTTTAACAGTCGCGGGCCTGGCCGGAATCTTTGAATGCCGAAGGTCGAAAGTCAGTGAGATATCGCGAAAACGTTTGTTTGCTGCCCACCTGTTTTTTTAGTGCCGCCACTTGGTCTTCTTCGCGTGGCGCGCCCTGCGATTCACTCGCTGGCTTCATAGAGCAGCTGAGGCGGTGTTCGACGATGTTAGATGGCGCCACATTTCTCCACTTGTCCGCCAGGTCGCTCGGTCGTGAAACGCTCTCGTCGACGTTGAGGGAAAGCACGAGGAACTTATCCCGCTTTGTGATCGAGTCGCCTGGTTGCAAGCACACGCTGACGTTCATGCTGTCGCCGGGACGTATACGGCCAAAGTTTGGATGCACGCGATACTTTTCCCGTGAAGTCGTCTTGACCTAAACGAATAACAGGCGGAGAATTAACATTCGCCCAATTATTATCTTTAGTTAATATGCCCGAAATAATTTTACGCGCATACTGGTATTAACTTACGCGAGGTGTTCCACTGTTTTTTTCAATTGAAAGTTACGAAGAGAGCATGAAGTTTCTTTTATCGTCGGAAAAAAACACAGGTCGTCTCATGGAATACAGAAGAATGCTTTTTTTAGTAGTATACAGTTTTATTGCAGTTTTCTATACAATCTAACCTTAAATGCCACAAACTCGTCTGACGTGTTTTGCAGGTGAATGGTCGCCTGTGGAAGCGCGGAGCAGGATGAGGTAAACTGCAACTCTCCGCCCGGAGTTATAGTCAACAGTCGACCACAAGCCGAGCTGGTCTTCTCTAATCTTCTAACCACGATTCCAACTGCGTCGCCCGTCTCCTTCGCGTCAGCTCTGACCGGAGACCGGTCCAGTTTCCTTACTGCCGTTTCGATTGCCGGTCCTACCGCAATATCGGACATATCCCTCGAGCGCATTGGTCTCCTGGAAACGACTGCAGGACGTGCGTTTTGATATTTCCTCTCCGCTGGGAATCTTTTAAACAATTGTGGTCGCCATGACAACGCTCGCGCAACTCGGTCTGTTGACGCTGCCTGTTGTTGCAGGTCATCTAATTGTCGTTACGTGACGTCATACGATTTTACTGTTGTTTTTTCTGTGTTATCTGAGTGTGTGCTTGATTAATTTTACGAATTTAATTTCTTGCACCTTTCCTTGTTTGTAAAGGTAAAATGATGTCTGATCCACTGATAAGATATGATAAGAGAGTTTATTTTATCACTTTCAATATCAGCAGATACAAGGATTTTTTAACAAAATATAAATAACGTGCAGTAAAGAGATGGCGAAAATACCATACGGTCATCTAGTCAGCCAACCCTTAGAGAAATTAATTAAGTATAAAGGCATCTGTCATAAAAACAAAATGTATGATGATAAATATTTGAACAAAATGTTTGTATGATAACAATAAAACAAAAACAAAATTGAACATAATTAGAAATAGAACAAGCAGCAGACATGAAGTTATGTACAAAATATGTTGGACACATATAAATAAAATATATGTAGTAATCAGTACAGTACAGTAATCGAATATTTACATGCTAATAAAGAATAACAATAAGCGGCATATATTACAATTTATGTCAATGTCGTGATTAAATGTATGAAAAACTAATCAAAATAAATAACAAAACAAACAAAACGGTTTTTCAAACTGAACATACATAGGTGAGAAAAGAAATATAGCATATAAAGAAATATACTTATCAAGAATATGTATAAAGCAGTCACATAAGATAGGAAAATAATGAATTGTAAGCATATATAACACCTTTAGATACGTTAGATTTGACAATTAATAATTACATGCAAGAGTAATCAGTATCAGAGTATAGTAAGCAGTATGTACAGTAATCGAATATTTACATGGTAATCAAGAATAACTTAAATGGCCTATATTACAATTCATGTCAATGATTGAATGTATAAAAAAAACAATCAAACTAAAGAACAAAACAACACATACAAGCAAAATATCTAGAATAAACAACAGGAGAATCAAAATTGACTAAGTGTAGTTGGTCATGAAGGAGTAGTTGGTCATGATGTTGGTCATGAAAGTTCATAGCTGAACTTTTTAATGGTACGTAATTGAGTAATTGTATTAATAGAATTCCAAAGTTCTGCTCCTGCAGATTTGATGGATTTAAAACCAATAGTTGTAGATACTCTAGGAATAAAGAAAAATTGGTTAGTTGCTGCTCTAGTCTGATAATGATGTGTATCAGAAGTTCTTATAAAGTAGTTGCAAAACAATTCAGGGAGAGTCCTTGTATTGTATTTATACACAAATTTACCTAACTCTAGATTATATATGTCGATTAGTTTGAGTAAATGCAATTCGTGGAAATCAGGGGTTGCATGGTCTCTCCAGTGAGCAAATTTTGTAAGTTTAACAATTTTATTTTGAGCTGTTCGTAGAGGTTTCAGTGTAGTTTTGTTAGCTGTACCCCATGTTAATACTGCGTATGTTAGATAGGGATAAACCAGAGAATAATATATAGAGGGTTCCGCGATTTTTCATATTACCCACAATGCAACGCCGCCGGTCATTAGGGTTCCAGAAACCAGTTCAGGCATGGTATACAAGTACATTGAGCAACGCACCTCTGCTCATTTTATTCGCCTATTAAGCAAATCCATCACAACTCCGCTCTCCTGCGGTGTTGTCAACTGCAGCAATCGGCATCAGAGAGAGCCACACAGCTTTTTTAGGCTGCCTAGCGTGATCACAACACAAGGTAAAGTGACGAGAGACCAGGCGGACCACAGACGTTTGGAGCATTTTCAATAAAAAAGCAATGCTGAATAAACACGAAATGTATTTACTACCAATGTTTCTCTACTCCTTGTATTGCCGATAATTACCTGTAAATGCCGGTTAAATGCTTCTCTGCAACACACAGGTTGCGTTTATATGTTACCCACGATTACGTTATAAAACTATATGTTTTTTACTGATTCGCCGTATCTTTCTTGAGTTTTCAATGCCTTTTGATAGGTTTTCTTGCGTCATTATTATTTTGCCGCAAGGCACTCATTGGAATCCTCCAACATTTTTACTTCTTCCTATAGTAAGTTTAGTTCATCTTTCACTGTATTTAGGAAGGAAGGTAAAAACTTGTGCATTCGTATAAGTTCATTCTTACTTCTATAGTATGATTTCCATAATTTTGCTCTTTCTGCCCATGATTCATATTTCCATCATCATAAACCTACATTTTTCAGTTCGACTTTAATCGGC